AAATTATGATATAAAACATAGAAAAAGCAGCAGAGGGAGGCTGGAGTAGCGCGGTTGAGTTTTTAGAAATTATATTTACCACCTAACAGATTAATTTCCTTGTTCGGCCCTGTCCTATTTACTACCTCTTTGGTTTGTTCGTGGTGGTTTCCTATATTTCTGACTGTCTGTGAACAGCCGGGCTGCGGTCAGAGAAGTTCAGTGTGTTCCCTGTAAAATCACCTCAGTCAGCGCGCGCTCCACACACGCGCAAGTTTTGCACAAAATGTGGGCCAGTGCACCTTTTTTTTTGTTTTTTGTTTTTACTGTTTATGCAAACCAAACGCAGTCCGCACGGTGAACTGTGGGCCTGAAATCGTGCAATACTCTGTTCTCTGTTTAATAATGAGCGCATATTTCGGCGGAACATGGAAACACGTCGCAGTGGCGCCATCTGTGGGAAAAGTGAACAAACAGCACGTATTCCTTTATTCCTTTGAAACTATAACGAAAAAGACAACTTTAGAAAAAAAAAAAGTTATATAAAATTAGATTTTTATTATAGTAAATATTTAAAAAATATATATTATTTGACATATAAGGCTAATTGTATTTATCCTGCTTTCCACTGAGTTTAGTACATTTAGAATCAGAGCCAGAAACAGATTTATTGCCAGGTATAGTTTACACAATATGAGGAATAAATATAGAGTAAGGTACAATGTATAAGATTAAAAAAATTAGAAATAGCAAAAAAAAAATGAAAGTAATAAAAAAATAAAAAATAACTGTAATAGTGCAAAACAGAAGCAAAAAATATTGTGAAGAATTAAAGTTAAATTTAAATAAGAGCCTTGAAACTGTAGTATTATTTAGGATGCAGATATATTGATATTTACATTTATACAGATGAATCAATCAGATTATTAATTATTTAGACAATAACAGCTCTTGTATAGTGAGTATAAATGAAAGATTAATACATGAATTAGAGCTCATAACGTTCCTAACACGCACCACGAGGCCTCCGACAGTCAAACCAAACTGGAACAAAAACAACTTCAAACACACACAACAACACAGACGCTGCTGAACGGAGGACAAACCGCAGGATCATCAGCATCACCTGGACCGGTACGTACGCTTTTAATCGCATTTTTAGGGTCTCACGCTACCAAATGTCAACTTTTTCGATGATTACTGTGTTGTGTGTGTGTTTTGTGGAGGTTTTCCGGAGTGTATTCACCTTAAACACACCAATGAATGTCCCCGTGTTGTAAATATTTGCAGTAACTTCCAGCACGAACTTGTTTGTGTTGCGAGAAGCTGCCAGCTGTTGAGCACAGCCTGGCTCTGTTTATACCGACATGTCAGGCAAATAATCAGCTACTTAATATGTATTCAGCATTCAGAATGACGCGTCCTGGACATATATTTAAATATTATTATTAATATTAAATAAATATGATTTACCATGTTTTTACTGCTGTCTAATATCAAAATGGATCAAATTGGCCTCTAACAGCAGACAATGCCAGAGTCATTATTACATCATTTTCAAATAAGATGTCACATGAGATGTTATTAAGTTGAAGTGAACGTTTTCTTTATGTTAATGAAGTAATAACCCTTTAAATCAGCTGTAAGGCATTCACAATAACTAATTATTTGTTTTAAAAATGTCTTTGGCTGGTGTTTCTCTTTTCTAATTGTAAATGATATTTTTGATGTTTAGAAGTTTACATCCACTGTATGAAAAACAGATATCCTTTTTTTTCCTCACCATCTGACATTAAATCAGAGTAAACTTTTCCTGTTTCAGGTCAGTTAAGATTACCAACATTATTTATATTTGCTAAATGCCAGAATAATCAGAGAGATAATTTTTTTCTGACTTTCTTCAAAGTCATAAGTTTCCATCCATCTTCTCAGTATCTGGTAGCGTTGCCTTTAAACTCTATGACTTCGGGTGAAACGTTGGGGGTTTCCTTCCACAAGCTTCTCACAACAGTCTGATGAGTTCTGGCTCATTCCTTCTGACAGAACTGGTGGAACTGGGTCAGGTTTGTTGGCCTCCTTGCTCCACTAATCTTCTCCAGGATTGAGATCAGGGCTTTGTGATGGCCACTCCACAACACTGACTCTGTTGTCCTGAAGCCTCTCTGTAGCTAATCTGGCGCTATGCTAAGGGTCATTGTCATCAAGCTTTAACTTCCTGGTTTATGTGTGGAGATGTTGCTTCAATATCTCCACATGATGTTCTTTCCTCATGATGCCATCTATTTAGTGAAGTGCACCAGTCCCTCCACAGCATGATGCTGCCACCCCCGTACTTCACTGTTAAGATGGTGTCTCCGAGTAGCCTTTCAGCCCATGTTGGTTCCTCGAATCCTTGAATCAATGTGTGTGTGTGTGTGTGTGTGTGTGTGTGTGTGTGTGTGTGTGCGCGCGGGTAGGTGGAGGATTCTAAGTTTCTAATGCTGCCTGTGCTGTTTTTGTTGGTGTTGTTGGTCCTTTGTCTATTTTTACTGAAAAGCCCAACCAGGGACGGGAGCTTAACATTAGCTTAATGCTATACACTCTATATGCAATACTGCAGATGTTTTCTATGTAAAAATGCACGGTCCCTGTTCAAATAAATAAATGAATGGATGAAAATCCTTAAACAAATCAAGTCAATTACCTCCAATTTATAAATCTAAAGGAGACCATGTTTGAAAGTGGTACCAACAGTAAATGTTTGTTTATATAAAAGGTGAATCAATTGAAACCATTGTTGCTTAAACTGAAAGTGCTAATATATTTTTTTAAAAAATCACTGCAGCTGCTGTTTGTTGCTGGCGTCTGACGTCACTTCCTCCACGTGGTCCGAGCCAAACTCCCGCCCGGAAGTCTCGTTCATCAACACTGTTGTTCTGCTCACTCTGTAGGACTGTCTGTGTCCTGCTCACTCTGCTCTCAGCATGGCAGCGCATAAAGAAGACTCGGACACCGACGATGTTCTGCCCAACGAGGAGGAGCTGCAGCAGGCTCTGTGCGTTCTGGCTGGAAGCGACTCGGAGAACTGCTCCTACTCCGGGGTAAGACGGGCTCCGCGCCCCGCAGCGCTGCCGTCCTGTTGGTATGCACCCACTGTCGCCTGGTGGCTTCCTGCACAGACAAGGAATGCGATTTGTAGATGGTGGAGTTTGCTGTGACAGTGAGCATTTTCACGCTATAGTTTTCTTCTATGACATTATAGACTTTATACCAAATAATAAAATAAAAATCAAACAAAGCAAAAAATAATAATAATTTTAAAAAAAACACCAGACAATCCACATAAAACACAAACAAAGCTGCTCGTAGGTGATTCAGGAAATCCTTGCATTTGTTAGGTTTTCTTGCCTCAAAACTAATCTCTACAATTAATCATGCTGCAGGGCCTTTAGTATTTATATTAGTTAGGTTAAGTTTGGAATCATTATTATATTATTAGAATAATAACACTGTAGAGTCTCAGCTTTGACATGTATTACAGTCAGGTTAAGTAGTATTTTATGTATGTTTTGGGGGGTTTAATCCCTAATATGTAGGTAAATCACACCATAAATGACTCCAGGTATAAGGTTTCTTTGTTTTTTATCAGACTATGAGTATTTTTTAGATAGGAGCTGTTTTTACTTTGACATGTTTCGACTGTCACTTCAGTCTCCATCAGCTCCTGTCTAAAAAATACTCATCGTCTGATAGAAAAAGAAACCTTCTACCTATAATCAGAGTCGACTAAATGACTCTAATCACACCATAAATGACTCTATAGACTGGAATACGTATATTGCATGTCTGTAATTTTACTCATCTGTTCAAATTTTTCACTAATTTTCTGCTGATCTATCTTTAAGCACTTGGTTTCTAGAAGGTGTTATACAATTTAAGTTGCTCTTTATTTGCTTATGTGCTGGTATTTCAGTACCAAACTTACAGTGACATCATGCTCATTCTTCTAAACTTTGGTATTTTACCTTTGCCCTGACAGAAACCTTCTATCAGCGACGGTTAAAGCACTACCACGGTGCTTTGCTATTCTGCTGACGGTGTGTTCACGGCTCCTGTGTTTGCTGTTGCAGGGTTATGTGAAGAGACAGGCGGTGTTTGCCTGTAACACTTGCACTCCCAGCGGCGCAGAGCCTGCCGGGGTTTGTCTGGCCTGTGCCAATAAATGTCACGATGGACACGATATCTTTGAGCTGTATACCAAAAGGTAAAAAAACAATCTCTGTGTGTTGCACTGACAATAAACATTGATTTTATGGGTTTTTTGGGGTCTAATTTGCCAATTTTTCTATTTTTCTTGCAGAAATTTTCGCTGTGATTGTGGAAATAGCAAGTTTGGAGACTTCCAGTGCCAGCTAACTCCTGTAAGTCCTCTGAATCTATATCTTTGTCTCCTACTCGTGCTCTTGTTGTTGACTTTATTCCCTCTTTTGCACTCGCAGGTCAAAGATGAGGAAAACGTTAACAATCACTACAATCACAACTTCCGTGGCTGCTACTGCACATGTGACCGGCCGTACCCAGACACCGATGATCAGGTAGTCTTTTATTTGGGTAAAATATACGGCTTGTATTTCTGTGTTTTCTGCCGCTACATAAAAATGTTAATTCCTAACAGAACGACGACGAGATGATTCAGTGCGTCGTCTGTGAGGACTGGTTTCATAGCAGGGTGAGCGGATTTCTGAGTAACTTCTGATTTACATTTTTATCGCCTCTGTGAGTCATCTGCTCATTGTGCTCGTCTTAAACAGCACTTGGGCTGCGCGATGGTCGAACCTGAGGAGCTGCAAGAGATGGTGTGTGAAGCCTGCATGAACAAGGCTCCGTTCTTGTGGACGTACGCTGCTCACTTTGCAGGTATTTTGTGTTGCATGTCACTGGAAGCAAAAGAAAAAACCCTGTTATCTATATTTAACCAAACATTTAGCAGTAAAACTTAAAGAGTTGTTTCTTCCTCCTTCAGTGCCGCCTGTCATCAACGTCAGTCATCCCGCAGAAGAGGAGGAGGAAGTGGAGGTCGATGTCGAGGATGAAGAGCCGAGTCGAAGCGGCGATGAGGAACCGTCCACCAGCGCTGAATGCACGAAGCAGGAGGTGAGGAACGGTTTGTTAAGGATGAGGTGAGCGAGTAAACCCACAACAAATCTGTGTGGGTGCAGACGCTGCATTCATGGTCAATGGGATGGACGGCAGAGAGGTGGTGATAAATCGTAAAGTTGGCGGTTCGATCCTCCGCCCCTCCACAGTCCAAGTGTCCTTGGGCAAGACACTGAACCCAAAGTTGCTCCCAATGGCAGGCAGCACCCTGCATGGCAGCTCTGTCACCATTAGTGTGTTAATGTGTGTGAATGGGTGAATGAGAAACACACTGCTTTGAGTAGAAAAGCGCTGTAAAAGTGCAGCCCATTTACCATTTAATTACATAAAAAAATGACTTTAGGTTCATTTTTTGTGTAAAGCTTTGGTTGTATTTTCATTATATTGTGCAAAGATAAGTGATTAGAATATTTAAGAATGTCACTTTTTACTGAAGCTATTGAACTTGACTCAATACTCTATATGCACTTTCTCTGATGCTGTTGTTGCTCCTTTTAGGGTTGCACTGCCTTTACTAATGCTTTAGTAGAGCATCTTGTAACTCCAGTTTTTAAAGATGCTATAGGAATAAAGTTTATTATTATTATTATGATATAGTGCATAAAATATCTAGTGCATAGTCATTATTTCAGTGACTGAAAATCACACATCATATTCAGCTTTGCTTTGCTCCTCAGGACCATTTTACAGATTTCTGTAGTTTTTGTTATGTGCATTGTGTGTATCTGTAGCCGTGGTGACAGATGTTTCCTATTTACAGAGCGGTGCGGTCGGTGCTTCTGACCTGTTTATATGTATCCTCCTCCACAACATGAAAGCCCTCCGCAGCTGCGATTGCGACTTCATGTGGAGTTACGCTGCGTAACCGAGGGCTAGTGGGAAGCGTCTGAGTGGTTTCTTGTTACGCCGCTCTGCCACTAGGTGGGGCTGGAGGAGTGATGAGCAGAGCGAGGGAAGCCAACAGACTCTGGTTATCGTGCTTTCCCCTCCTCTGGGTAATTAGAGGAGAAATGACCCATGAGGCTCTGCTTCTCCTGCTCTGTGGACGGCTCTGGCCAGGCTTCACAGCAGAGCTTACAGTAAACTGGTGATTTTCATCGCCCGACCATCTCATAGTGTCGGCCGCCTTGAGACTCCCCCGGATGAGTCTGCACTGCTGGCGTGTGGAGATGTTTTACAAACGCCCCCCCTCCATCTCCCACTGTAATACTAACCCCATCTTCTTTTATTATTTGTATCATAGGAGGCCGGGAACAGGAGCTCCCCTTGCAAGCGAACCCACGAGGAAATGACAGCCAGTCCTACAAAGGCCACGACTAAATCTGTGGAGTGCAAGCTGAAGGAGCTGCAGGCCCGGGGCAGGGAGAGGCTGAGACAGGGGGCCGTGTTCTGGCCTTACAGTTGGCGTTTGGGGCTCTGCACCTGCACGAGCTGCAAGGTAGACCCCAAATTCTAGCACTGAGATTATAACTTCCTCTAAAGGCGCCAGACGACCAGCGTTTGCTTTCCATGTTGATCCAGCTCCTTGCAACGCCGCACATAAGCATCTTCTTAATTAACATTTGTCCCCCGTGTGTTGTTTATTTCGCGCAGAGGGCCTACGTGGCTGCCGGAGTGCACTTCCTCATGGATCAGTCTGACACTATTCTGGCCTATGAGAAGAAAGGCTTAGATGAACCGTTTGGGCAGCACCCGCTGATGGCACTCACGAGCTCGATGGACCGCGTACAGCAGCTGGAGGTCATTTACGGTGAGCACGAGGAGGGCGGGTGGGAAGAGTCGGTTTTCTTCCAAGGTTGTAATCACGTCAAAGTTAAGCGCAAGGGAGTGGCAGCTGATTGGCAACTAATTAGTCGTATGTCCTTCCCTCAGGTTTCAACGAGTTGACAACCTCCATCACTGCATTTTTAGAACAGTGCGTTTCGGAAGGAAAGGTGAGAGATGGATGCCTGTGTGAGTCATATCTGGTGGACATTTGTCCTTCCTCCAGACCTCAAACTTAACCCGTTTCTTTCATGTCTACATCAGACGGTCACAGTCGAAGCTGTACACCAGTTCTTTGAGGAGCTGCGGGCCAGAAAAAGACGCAGAACCAATGCGGGGTATCAGTAACGAGGAGTCCACGCTGCTGCCATCATATGCTGGGATCATATGGTGCTTTGAATAAAGTGCTTTTTTTTTTGACATGGAACAAAAAGTAATGCTTTCTGGGTATTATTGTTGTATAAAGTTTCTCTGAGGGACTGAAGTGTTGTGAATTTTGAGGTTAGAGTTTCATGCCCAGTTTTTTTTTTTTTTTTTTGTTCTATTGATTTATGACGATGCCTTAACTTTGAAGATCATAATGAAAGTTCGGTACTTGAAACAGTCGTAGATGTTGCACATTGATATATTTTTTACGAACATTGCATTTCAGCACTGGATGCTTTCAGTATGTTTGGCTTTAATGTTAGTGTTTCACGTCAACATGATGCTGCCATTAAGTTCCTGGGAACATGCCTGCTTGTGTACTTTGGCTTGACTTTCATGCCCTTGTGTTTACATTGAGACAAACTTTCTGTCTGTAAAAGCAATGTGAAGAGTTACTGCTGTGGAATGTGGATTGGTGTTCCAAATAAAATGATCGACCCGACTGAGAGCAGATGAATTCCATAATATCAAACCAGTTTATTTTGAGGATGCCCAAGTTGACCACTGTTATGCACCTTTTTGAGGCGACAGTAGAAAAATAGATTCAGTGAAACTAAATGCAACTTAATATCAATCTACAAACATGGTTTCTATGATACCATACAAGTACAATGTACCTGTTACAATTCAACACAAGCAATCACACATTTCAGATGGTTCAATTTCAAAAGGTGCTAAATAACACTATGTACACAAAACAAGCTACATGAGATTTCAAAGAACTATTTGATGCAGGCTGGTAAGCTGGTAGAAAAGAGCTTGCATAGACATCAAAGTCACTTCTCCAATAAAAGCCCAGCCGCAGGCAGGGGAAGGCACTGACTTCTCTACAGCAAAGAGCAAAACAAGGACTTTTATTCAATGGAACATTGTCCTGGAAAATAAAACAACTACCCAACATGAACATGGGGAGGGATCTGGAGTTTTGCATTTTTTCCCCATGAAGCAACCTAGATGGAAAAATGATTTTTCTGCTTGGCAACTCCATCACTGCTAAGCAGAGAACTAATATCATCAGATCCTCTACGTGTTCCTGTTACTTTTAAAGTAAAAGAAAAAAGAAGAAGGAAAAACAAAACAAAACGGGGGGAAACATCTCTACAAACATGGGTATCCACACCACCTACAATATTGAACAAACTGCCCTAAATGCATAACATTTAAGAACAAAATAGATTCTGAGACACAATCTTTATGTTTTATACCACACATTCTTAGTGAGAGTTCATGACAAAGACAAATACACAGTGTTGTCCACTACAGTAAAAACACAGACCTTCAACAACCACTAAAATGTGATAGAAACCATTAAAAATTCATCAGAACATGTGGAACTCAATTCATTATATACAATTTTCCATTGGAGATATGAGCCAGCAATCGCCAACTTTTCTTCAATATACGATTCCTTTTTGTTCGAGATTCATTTGTTCCTTTTTCCCTTCGGCTAATAAACAGATGGCTCCTACAGTGCAATGATACTCGTGTGTGAGGTTTTATGCTAGCTTTCAGCTGTAACAGGCTTTTATGGGTGTTCTTGCAGGGTTGTGGAGCTACAGCTGCTGCGGCTCTTTAACAGTATATTTAACAGTATCAACACTGGCTATGCACATCCGCAATCCCCCATTAGGTGGCGAGATGGAGGCCTGATGTATGTACATGGGTTTTTAGCATCGGTGAACTCCACCTCTACCACCCCGAAAAACTGCAGCGTATGTGTCTGTAGTGAAGAGAACAGTCAAATAAGCAGTTAACAGGGGTTGCAATATAATGACATCATACTTAATTGAATAAAGGTTGCTAAAACTGAATACTCCAAGCTCTGGTTAAGGCTTTAGATTGGATTACTTAATGCTAAACAGAACAAGAGGGAGCTCGTTACACACTGACCACCACGCTCTGTGCCATACTCTTTAAATCGCCTCTGATATGTACAAACAGACCTGACCAAAGATGGGAGTGTACAGTACTGAGATTGTCTAAACACCTGTGTGTATCAAAGTTATCCTTGCACACACACACGCACGCACACCTGCTCCAGCTGCAAAACCAACAAATCCCTCGCAGTCCGCTGTATGTCAGTTGCCATGGCACCCCTATATTTTCCACTGTATCTCAGTAATGAACCCGCCCGAGATCCTCCCTGCCCCTCTGCCCTCCCATGTGAAAACACCAGGCCTCTGCCTCCGAGCCGGACAGAGAGGCCGCGATAGCCAACACCTGACACAATTATCAGACATGGTTACTGGAGAATGACGAGCTCTGATGACCTCCTTCCTGTCAGATCCGATTCCTGCTTTGTGTGACCAAGCGTCGGCCCATTGCTCATCAGCAGTGCAGAACCGGGGCCCGGAGGTGGAAACTAGTCAGGTGGGTTGCTATAAGCATGCTACAAGAAGAAATGGAGTCATGGGAGGAAAAGAACACAGTCAGACATATTTACATACGATTCTGTCACAATACTCTGTCCCAGACTGTGTGCCATTGTTCACTTGTGTAAACTGAGATTCTTATCCTGCGATCTTCCCGTTCTATGCAAGAGACAACAGAGCCAACCGATAGAGCCTTTGTTCAACTATCAGTTCATAACTGAGATTCATCTAGTGTTGTGACCTCCTCATGCAGAATTCATAGAGCACAGAGCTCTTTCTCAACAATCAAACTCAAGAGACCAGTCCACCCCAGTAGAGCCTGAGTAATCCTCTAAACCAGCAGGACTAGGCAGACTTGCATTGACAGCTAACCTACAGCTCCTACTCTTTCCATACTCTGACTGTGTGATGGATAGCACAGTGTGATAGAGGTAGGACAAAAGGACAGATTCTATAAATAGCAACCATCGACCACCCCTTTTCCCTGCTCCTCTCAAACACACACACACATACACGCAGGCAAACATTTAGTGCTTTGCTGTCCCCGGTGATGGACAGCCACTCATCACTTTTTCCCTTTTCTTAACTCAACCCCTGGTCCTGAACTGGGGTTAAAGTGCAGATTTCTTATAAGGGTAGTCAGGCTTGCTGGGTGACCTGCGGTCTCTGACAATCTCCTCGCTGACACTGTTTCTGTGGGGCTGCTGGAGGGACCCCGAGCCAGATGACTCTCCAGCTATAACCATGTCTTCGGGGGCGTCTCTAGGTCCTATGTGCCTCTCCTCATAGCTGTCCATATTTCCACTGGGGGATCGCAAGTGCCCTAAGCCATGAGTCAGGTCCGTCTCATTTGATCGCCCCTTTGGAATATGTCCCATCCTGGGCTGGGCCCCAGAGGGGCTGGCAAGGACTCCATCGTGCCTCTGAGAGGTTATACTAAGGACATCCAGTCGTAGTGGGTCTGGGGCAGTCCGTCCCTGCGTGTGGCCCTGGGACTGAGAGTCAGACACATAAGGGGGAGGATAGGAGCTGGAGGGGGTGCAGTTGTGGCTGTAGAGGTCTGGTCCTGCAAAGGAGGGCAAAGGATGAGCGGAGGTCGGGGTTGCAGGTCGGCAGGAGAAGTCATACAGGTCAGGAAACTCAGCCTGAGCCTCCAGTTTGGGTTCAGGGGCGTGTCTCTTGCAGGAGTGGCCATGTCCCGGACCATGGCCATGGCTGAGGCGGACAGAAGGGCAGGGCCCATGGGGCAGATGGTGGCCTGAGGGGCCCATGGGGCTGTGAGGGCCTTCCCTGTCCATCTCTGCCATGTGCTGCTCCCTCAGGGACATAACTGAGACACCCAGTGCAATGTCAGGCATGAACTCCCTCATAACAGGCTCCATGCTCATCTGCATTGGAAAACAGACACAAATGAGTGGCATTACCTGACAGTCAGGATATTCATGAGCCCAGGCGTTGGCAATGAAGCGACATTTGAATACACAAAAACGAAGCACAAGGAGTCTAAGACGTCGTGCACACACTCACCGCTTGCTGGTCTGAAAGCAAAGCTCGGCCCATAGCCTGTGGGTTGGTGCAGTCGGGGGGCTGGGGCCTGGGCGCAGAGGAGTAGTCTGAGCTGCCATGCTTGGTGGCTGCATGACGCTGGATCAGGGTGCGGTTGCAGGGGTAGGAAAAGGAGCGGGTGGGGGTTGGCATGGGCACTCGGGGTCGCCAGGCACCCTTGAGCTGGGCATGACTGGGTGTGGCAGGGGGGTGGTACGGGGGAGGAGGGGGAGGTAGGGGAGGGTGGAAGCCTGCTACTCCTTCCAGCTCTGTGAACATGCTATCCATGGCTGGGCTGCTGTTTACCCGACAACGACCCACCTGGCGCAGGGCCAGGATTGGACTCTCATCTCCAAACCGTTCATCAGGGAAGAACTTGTACGGGTTCTGAAAAGAAGAAGAAACAAAACAGGAGCTAAAGAAGTCCATATCCATTGGGCTGCTCGCCAATCAAACCTTGTTTTTTTTATCCATCTTTTTCTTAAAATGTATCTGCTCTGGGGTTGTTCAGGTCTGAGCTAGCGTCCCAGACGTCTCATCCTCCTCTACGCCCTCGGGACAAACTCTCTGCTTCCTGCTAACCTGCAATAGTTCAGTCGCTCCGTCTGCCAGACCGAACTCTCTCAGCACCCGCAGCTGCAGCTCATAGCTGACAGTGGCTCCCTCACCACAGTTGAGAGCGTAAGCTCTCTGGACCTGCTCTGTGTGTCTCAGTTCATGCAGCCTCCGGATCATCTCCTTTACCACAGACAGCTGAGGCACTGCAAACAAACACAAACAAAAAAGTTCACCACTTTAGTACTCTGTATGACTGCTGAACAACCTGATGTTCAAGGATATTTGAGCAGTTTGTCCATTTTCTGACAGCTTCTCATATCATTTTGACACTCGTAGTCACGTAGCGTCCCCAACAGTTGTCCTACCTGGAATTTCATTGGCGACAACTGACGGAGCCGTGGTTGCGTTGCTTGCCATTTGCTGGTGGTTGATCATGTGACAGCACTGAGGCACAGCGTTGTTGACCATATACAGTGTGTCTGGGACGTTGGACATGCGCACTAGTCGCAAACGCACCAGGTCTGTCTGCTCCACCATCATTTCATCAAGCACAGACTGGGGACATTGGAAAGGAGAGAAAGAAAAAAAGGAGTCCTATGTGCAACTCAAGGACATTGAGAACATTTTGCAAATTAGTTCCACTTGACTGACACTTCATCTAATAATGACTCTCTCTGGTCTATGGATATGTTCATGAATATTCATGGTCCTGAGAAGGCCTATAAGTTATTAGGAAAGTTTACAAATGGACATAAAATGAATTTCAGTCAAGATGGTGAAGGCCACTATTGCCATAGCAACAACTGGGCATGAATAGTTTTATAACGTCAGAGCTATAAACAGGTTCGCAAATTTTACCAAAGCTCTTAATAGTTCGTCTGCCCTCTTCACAGAATCTCTACACTCTTTAGTGATCGCAATGTGGGATGCAAATATTCCACTGCTTCCTGCACCAGCTATCAGCTCC